ACATTCCCCCAAAATATTACTATTTCTCTCCTTATAATGAGGAATAATGGGGTCAAATGGGTACTTTGGGTCATATTTCTCAAGTCATCAAATTGTTGATTTTTTTACCATTTTTTAAATTTTTTTCTTCCAATTTTATCATCTCTAAAATAATTATTTTATAAGACAAAAATTATATGTAAATATTTCTTATTTAAAAAAAAATACAACAAAATATATCCTAAATTATTGTATTTTATGTTATATAGGTAAAACTCAATTCAAATTTTTTTTTTTAACAAAGAATTGAAAGAAACAAAAGAAAATCAAGGAAAATGGTAAAGTCCAAAGTTTGAGGACTAAATTGTCAATTTTAATAGTTGATTCGAACCACAAGACGCTACTTTAAAGATTGCTAGGAGACAATTGGATGAAATTAGAATTCAAAAAGGAATTAAATATGATCAAAATCAATTTCCAGTCGCAAAAGTTATATTCCAAATTTTTAATCGAAAATTGAGATCCATTTTTGCCATAATAAACGTTCAAATTAAAAAAAAAATTATTGCTATAAACATTGTAGCCATTTGAGTTATCTTTCCAAAACACTTTGAATTGCCTCAATCGGATATCGGGAGAGAAAGTAATGGTCAAAACACTAATTGTTGTGCAGAGACCAAAAAAAAAAAAATCTGCGCGCGAAGATAACTTTCCTTATTCGATTGGAACTCTTTGGAAGCCAATTTGGACGTGATTTTCAATCAATTTTCTACTCCTAAAAATACCTAACAATAGAATACATATTAGAGACCTCTCATATACATCTCATACTCCAATTTTCATCAATTATTATCATCAAAGAAGGAAAATTCATAATTTTGTGAAAGAATTGAAGAGGACTTGCAAGAATTCAATCAAGTGGAGATTCAAACTTGATTTTTGGGCAAATAAGATAAGGCGCAAGTGGAGATTCATCAAGAAACCACTGAAGAGATTCAAGATTTCAAGATTCATCATCAATTTATAAAAAATCTGGGTTATGTATTTTCACTTAAATATGATTTATTGTAATTTCGATATGTTAGACTATTTTTATACATTATTAGGATGAGATGAACCAATGTTATGAAATTTTTGGTATTAATTAATTATTTTGACGACTAGTATATTTATTTTCTTGAATGTTTATTATTGTTTTCACTGACTTTCAATTAATTAGCTACTAATTGAGATGATTTATTGGAATATATTATTATCAAGAGAGATAATAAGTTTTTAACTAAAAATAATAAACATTGTAAAGTTCGATAGAGGATAGAGATATATCTCTATGCTTTACATGATTTTCATAGGTGTTCCAGATCGTTTAATACATTTATCATGTGTTGCATCTTTTATCGAGAGATATGAGGGTCACATGAGGGGAATAGATTTAATAACTATCAAGAGAAGTTTNTCAATTAAATTATGAACACTGACCAACAAGAATGATTACAAATTGTCACTTTAATTCATTGTGCTAAAAATGGATTAATAAGGGGGATTCGACATCTTAGCAATACTTTCACATATTTGAAATCAAACCAATTAAATTGCTTTCTAGTTTAATCGATAATTTAGATATTAATATAAAAAAACTCAAAACTTATTTGCTGTTCGATTAAGGTTGCTATTAATTTGAACTCGATTTAATACTGAGTACTCGTGGGTTCGACACTCTACACACTACTATATTATTTGTTCACGATTCCGTTCACTTGCGGAAAATCAAACGATCAATAATTCATATCCACTATGGGTAGGAGATCATTTCAGATGCTTAGAAATGAAGATAAACCTACAATTTTTTACAATTCAACATTGAGTTATCAAAAATTATAGGTTTAACCGTTGAAGTGCTATCACGTCACTATTGGGCAAGATAACTTATATCCACCATGGATATGAATCATTCTTAAAGATCGACATGCAATTCAGAATTGAAAATTTTTAGAATACAAATTTAAATTATAGACTTTTCAAAAAATCTCCTCTTCCCTTTCCTTTTACCATTCTCTTCCAAATTTCCAGATCTTCTTCTTCAAAAATTCACGCAAAATGTTCTGAATATAAATGACAAATCTTTAATTGGATCTTTAGGCTCATATTTCCCCAAATAAACACCTGTTGAATCAACTTTGGTATTAACACCGCAGAATTGACCTTCAAATTGCACTTTCTTTTGACAACAAATCACTCTCATTGAAATATTCACAATCTCTACTACAAAAAAAGAATAACCACGTGTTACAGTCTTCTTATCTACCTCCATTTATTTCACAAACCTCTCGCCACAATTTCGACATTGTCGCATTTTTGGGCAATTCGACAACTAAATCCTTGACTGTGTTGGAAAATATAAGGTGCACAAAGAGGTATGGAGATGAAAACAAAGAACAAAAAAACCAAAAAAATGAAGAAAAATGAAAAGAAGATTAATAGAAGATGAAAAAGAAGGCCCGAACACAAAACCGTTGTCCTCAAACTATATTTGCCCCTTCTCAGATTGAAAATGATGCTTAAAGGGATTATGCCAAATGATTTGCAGGACTAATCAAGCCTTGTAAAGGATTTAACACTTAAGCACTAGTGAAAATCCCCCAAAACTTGAAAATCACAAAAAATGAAATTTTTGAATATGTATGAAAGAATTTTTTTTTTCAATGATGTGTGGAATAAATATGTTATTCAAAGAATAATATTCAATATCTTGCCTTTGAACATTGATCACCTATATATAGCCCTCAAATGTCTTCCACGAAGTGGTGCCAAATTCATATGAGAAGCCGCCAAATTCAAAAACACAATGACCATAAGACGGTCATCTAAGGCTAACTAGTTGTTCTATGTGACCGCATAGAACAAACCTATGCGGTCACATAGAACAACCGTTGCAGGGCATTTAATCCCTGCAATGACCTATGCGGCCGCAAGCCTTTCAGCC